CAAGATTCGCCCCGGCATTTACCAGGAATTGACCAATCACTGTCAGGCCTCTCTAGTTACCAGGAGACTTTGCGGTTTTAAAAATCACGCCACTGGCCCTATGAAATATTATAATAGTAAACCATCATTTAAATCCCTACTGTCAGATTCTTCAAATTTTCAAATAAATGTGAAAGCATACTCTATGGTTATTAGTGTAACATGACATTCACGCCATCTACCTACCTCCAGCTCTGTGCCTGACCGGTTTTACAGAGATGACCAGCGTTTCACCAGCGGGACCACTTAGAAAACACCACAACCAGAAGTACAAGTTAGTGCTATAGGAGACATTGTACCTCGCGTAGACAGCCACATGTGATAAAAACACAAACGATGGGGACGTTACACTTCCCTCTCGCTGAAGATGAGGAAAGAACATTGCGTGCTTCGAGAACCTAAAAAGATATTTTTTGCTGTACTAGACTGTATTTTCATGGCTTTAAAACACTTACCTGCACCGACCTCATATAGGCTGTATTTTGTCTACCTAGCACCATAGTCCTTGATGTTATCTTTCTCGGGAACGTGACCGAGCCAACCAGGAGTCGAACCAGCAATCTTGTGCTCCATATCCCTGCCACCTGTAGGTCGAGGTCAATCTTGGCAGTGACAGCGAATCGCGTTTCCGTATGCTACCACAAATCTACCAAGTTTGAATGACGTGGCCAATCAGCGCTCGTATCGCTACCAAGATTCGCCCCGGCATTTACCAGGAATTGACCAATCATTGTCAGGCCTCTCTAGTTACCAGGAGACTTTGCGGTTGCGGTCTGTTTTAAACCAACATTTCGAACCAAAGTCAACCCTTTGCAGCTGTTATTGTCAAAAAAATAATTTTGCAAATATGTATATTTTGTATTGTGATGAATAATCTCTTGCTCCTCGAAATTTAACGACGAGCTAATAGCAGCCACATACAGACAGGCCCCCTCACGCTGTACAGGAAGGAGGGACGGGGGCTGGCCAGCTGGACAGCGGTCGCGATACCCCACAGCTGACGCCAGCACCGAACAGACAGACGCAGACTCAGCCCGCCCCACACGTACAGCACACACATAGTTCCCTGCCTCCTGTAGGTCGAGGCCAATCTTGGTAGTGACAGCCACGGGACAGGGGGCTGGACGGACAGCTCGCGGTTAGCCCGAGCTGGGGCCAGCCGCTCATGCGCAGAGAGACCCAGGCCAGGCATACACATGGAAATACACAGGGACCCTCAGCCGCGCATGCTCAGTCACTCACACACACACTCACTCACTCACCCATCCACCCACCCACCCATAGTAGCCCTGGGGGCAGATGACCGCTGTGATTACGAGCTACGGGGGAGCCGGACCCAGCTGGCAAAACCGTGGCCGGGCTAACATCAAGCCCTCGGACAGGGACCCCTCAGCCGCGCATGCTCAGTCACACACACACACACACTCACTCACTCACTCACCCACCCACCCACAGTAGCCCTGGGGGCAGATGACTGCTGTGATTACGAGCTACGGGGGAGCCGGACCCAGCTGGCAAAACCGTGGCCGGGCTAACATCAAGCCCTCGGACAGGGACCCCTCAGCCGCGCATGCTCAGTCACACACACACACTCACTCACTCACCCACCCACCCATAGCAGCCCTGGGGGCAGATGACCGCTGTGATTACGAGCTACGGGGGAGCCGGTCCGGCCCGGTAAGCTACGGGACTGGGGGCTGGACGGACAGCTCGCGGTTAGCCCCGAGCTCCCTGCCACCTGTAGGTCGAGACCAATCTTGGAAGTGACAGCCAATCGCGTTTCCGTATGCTACCACAAATCTACCAAGTTTGAATGATGCGGCCAATCAGCGCTCGTATCGCTACCAAGATTCGCCCCGGCATCTACCAGGAATTGACCAATCATCGCCAGGTCTCTCGAGTTACCAGGAGACTTTGCGGTTTTGCCAAGTGCGAAAACGACCGAGTAGGATACGATTGCTTCACTTTTTATTAACTTGTTTTAAACCAACATTTCGAACCAAAGTCAACCCTTTGCAGCTGTTATTGTCATTAAAATAATTTTGCAAATATGTACATATTGAATTGTGATGAATGATCTGTGGCTCACGAACCTTAACGACTAGCTAATATCGTTCGTTTATGTTACCTGTCCTTTCGCTGTTATAACGTTACAGCTAGCTAGCTAGCTTTCCGAGAGTGATTTTTACATTCATGTAAAGCCAATTTAACGTTAACATATCTGACAAACTAACGTTAACCTGCCTGTTGATGACAACAGCGACCTAAGGAATTAAATGAATGTTAACGTTAAATTACAAACAGGTGTCCAGTAATGTTACAGTACAAGTGACGACTTTGTTTTGCCATTTCATTTTATTTTAGCTCATTGTGCTTTTACATATTTATTGTAAATGAATGAATAATAAGTTAGCAGACTTACTTCTGACTCATAGTGATCGTGTGATGTTGGAAAAATATACATAGAGCATAATATAAAAGAATTTCCCTAAGAAGGGATGATAAAAGTCTAATGTCTAAATATCTAATGTCTACAAGGTGATTATGAATGAATACAACAGGTATCAATATAATTATATTTTTTATTTATATTTTCATTTTTTTAATTTAGATGGAACCTTGCTTCAGGAGGCGGGCAGATGGAAGCCTCAATCTTACTGACACTGCTGAAGCAAATGCTGTGAAGGAACAAAACAAAGGGAAGCCCTGGGTGAAACCCGTTTCCCCGGAGGGAGTGCTGGCCAAGGCCAGACCTGCTGTCATTCAGCACCAAGGAGACCCAGACAGCCACAAGGACTTGCTGGGTTTCTTTGAAATCCAGTTTGGGGTTTTTCGTGGGCAGACATTTAGGTGGGTGGCTGAAAATGCCCTGGGGTATGCCGCATACCTGGTGGCAGCAATGAACAGGGACCCCACAGAAGGGAGCAAAGACTCTCATGATCACGCCCAAAACAAAACATGTTTCAAAGAGTATATTGAGCTTTTTCCTTCTGGCAGAATTGCCATTGCCATGAAGGAAGAGCAATATGCTGAGAAAAATCCCAAGCACTCTACCACCTCCCAGCACACAACCCCCACCCAGCACACTAAGTTTAAATTGTTTAAACTTTATATTACATACATACATTAACAAGTGCCACAAACACTTTAATTCAGCACCATGGAGACCCAGCAAACCAAAAGCACCTGCTGGGTTTCTTCGAAATCCAATTCAGTGTGTTTTGTGGCCAGACTTTTAGGTTAGACATATGCCATCTCATGTGAAGGTTTGCTGAGGCCTGCACCACTGACTCTCACCAGCTCTATGCCACTTTCATGAGTCACCTCAGCCACTGTATTTTCATGTGGGACCAGGATGATTTGACGGCCCTGAAGGTGGTGAAGCGTGCAGAGCTAGAAGCTGACAGGAAACATCCTTCTGAGGCTGACGTGACGTGATGCGCTGTATCAGCCAAAATGAGCTCGCTCTGCATTGCAGGAGAACCACTCGTGGGACCAAGGAGACCAAGGCTCTAATCCAGGCCTTTTGATGGGGCTGTCGAAACGACCATGATCAATTAAGCATTTTGATTTCTTTTTAAGCGCATGAATTTATAGAGAAGCATTAATAATTCTTTTAAATCTAAGAAAACTTTATTAATCACTTTGTATGAGACATGTGGGAGCCCCTTGAAATCTCAGGGCAACCAGGCGATTGCCTGTGTTTGCCTCATCATCTCACTATAAATGTACAATACAGATAGATAAGATTTTGGGTGATAACCTTTCTTACCATTGTTTATTGCTGTTTGGAACAACAATGTTGTTCATTCTCATAAGGATTTGGGTGTTTGTGTGACAATATGAATGTAAAGTGGTCATAATATGATCATAACGAGTTAGGAACAGGCGGGATTCGACACAGCAATCTCAGGGGATATTTTCCACTATTTATGACAGCTTTATATCGACCATTGCGCACAGGCCCTAGGCCAGGGGTGGGCAACTCATTCCACAAAGGGCCGGTGTGGCTGCAGGCTTTTGTTCCAACCTATCAAGAGCACACAGTTTGACCAATCAGCTGTCTGAAGACTGAGATCAGTTGATTAAATGAGTCAAGTCTGGTGTGCTGCTGCTTGGTTGGAACAAAAACCTGCAGCCACACCAGCCCTTTGTGGAATGAGTTGCCCACCCCTGCCTTAGGCCATATGACTACTTGTCTAACTAGCATCATAGTCCTTGATGTTGTCATTTCTCGGAAAAGTGACCGAGCCAGCCAGGAGTCGAACCTAGAATCTTCTGATCCGTAGTCAGACGCGTTATCCATTGCGCCACTGGCCCATAAGATTCACAAGTAGTACAGGTTTTCTCTGTGGTTTACCTTTCAGGACTGTCCAATCTCAGTAGTTGTATCTGTATGGCATTCTGTTTTAACTACAATAACAAATCTATGTATGATGACAACATCTTCTCAGACCTATGTGAAGATCTGTCATAAAGAGGCACTGTCCTAAAAAGATGATGAACTTGTATTTCAGAATATTGTCTTAAAGCCTAATAGTGACATTAGCTTCCATGGAGGCATGGCAGCTAATGTTACTTAAGGCCTATCTACTGTGGCCCTGAGAGGTCAAAGTAAACTAAATTAAGACACACATGCAAACACATGCAAAAATGTAAATGAAATTGCTACAGAAAATATGCTGCAAAAACTAACAACACGACAGCAGTGTTTGGGGTGACACAAAGAAGTGATATCACATGACTCCCATAGTGCTGCAAATATAGCTAAGTCAGCCTCATGCTTTGTACTTTGTTGTAGCAATCCATTGCTAGATGTGATGCATTGACCTCTGAGGGCCACCGTAGTTAGCTTCTAGACTTTAGTGGCATGTGTATCATTCCCACAGGTTACCGAGATGATTTGTTTGTACATACTACGGCCACATGAACCTCAAACTATAGGATTTCTGCTTTAAAAGCCGAGCCAGCCAGGAGTCGAACCTACAATCTTCTGATCCGTAGTCAGACGCGTTATCCATTGCGCACATGAGACACATTTCCCCGTTCTTTGACTCCCAGGACACAGTCAGTTTCAGTTTGTGTCATCTATGTATTTTGACCAAACGATGCAACCAAAACGATTACTGATACAACAAAAAAGGCAGATTTTGGGCAAAGTTGAGACTCTCAAGATGCTCTACGAGTAAACTACCTTTGCAGTACAGTATTGATAGCCATTTGTACAACTAACACAGATGCCCACGTTGCTGTGTAATGTTATATTTCTTGTGGAAAATATCGAGCCAGCCAGGAGTCGAACCTAGAATCTTCTGATCCGTAGTCAGACGCGTTATCCATTGCGCCACTGGCCCGGCGTGAACCCTCACGGTGACATATTCCCTCAGCTTTGACTTCCAGGAGCTTCCAGGTTTTTAATTAGGCTTCATGTTGTCAGTAGAGGGCGCCACTGACCTTTCCTAAGTTTCTGTTCTGTTCTAACTCTATTGCTTTGTGTCAAAAATTCACGTCAGTCCTTTGTTGCATTAAATGACTCATTGTCACAACCTTGGAGCTGGAGGACTTGTTGTGTTTGTTGCTTGAGGTAAATTTCACTCACAGGCTTGAATGCAAACACTTTAATTAGCTCCTCCTGGTGTCACTTCAAAGGTGAGAGAGGCACAAGTTTTCCAGGGGATGCTGCTGCTGCTGCTGCAGTGGATGGGCTGATCCACACTGATCGCAGGTACTGTGGCTGGGAGGAGGGAGCAGGGACCGCAGTGGAGTAACCGACTGTCCGGGGCTGTTTGGTTGTTTATATTGACTTATTGTGATTATCACTGGAAGAATGTGCATTGCATGAAAGCCCTATAGGTCTTTTTCTTCCTTCTGAGTTCATCCATCCTGTTGCATTGTGCGTGTCCTTGCGCCTCGGTGACCCACAGACGCCTCCGTCCCCTCTCTCCCGGATCATGTGGATTATTTTGGCGTTGGTCCTGGCAGCGGCCGGTCCCCGGGGGAGCTGGGGATGTCAGCTGCCCCACGACTGGAGACCGCAGACAGAAGCGTGCCGCGCTGAGCTGGCGGAGATCATAGTCTTTGCCAAGGTGTTGGCGCTGCACAAAGAGTCCTACAGTGTGTATAACTACCTGCCGTGGCAACACGACACCGACCTGCTCTTCTCGGCCGAGATCGAGCTGCTGTGCGACCAGGCGTGGGGCAGCATGCTGGAGGTCCCTGCCGGCTCCAGGTTTAATGTCACTGGCCTGGGTTACTTCCCCTGCTTCTCCTACAGTGTCACCAAAAACAACAACTACTACTTCTTCCTAAGGTGAGCATGCTGCCCGGTGATCTCCCTGATGACAACAGTATATAAGAGTTGGGATGAAAATGACTATAATTAAGCTGCAATCCCATTCCCTATACCACATGAGTCAAGAGAGTCAAGGCAAAAGAAACTGCTCCTTTAGGTTTCTGCTTGCCACACGTTGTCATGCAAACTTAAAAATGTGGATAAGATTGAACGCACATGAGGATAATTTTGTTTATAACAGCATGTGTTGAAAGTTTTAAGAGTTTTCAGAGATTGTCTCAGTGACTGTTTCCCATGAGGTAACATTACATGACCCATTTTTACCATGGTGTCCAGATGTGTCTCACAGCTGGAATAAACTTCACATTGTTATTTACGATCAGAGAACAATGAAACATTTTTTTCTTGGATTAGACTAGGTTATATAAAGTGATAATTAGATCTGTTGATAACTGATTGCAAATGGAGACCACCCATTATAGTAGTTTATATTATTACAAAGCTGGGCTCCACTATCTATCAGCCCCCCCCCCCCCCCCCCCCCCCGTACAGCTGACATATCCGGTCAGTAGCCCTCACTGCACACGGTTCATCACATGTAAATTCAGTGTGAAGCACTTCAAAGAAAACATCCACAGGAGAAAGTCTAGAAACTCAAAATGTGCATTTAGTTTAATATATTTGGGATTAGACAGCAAAGCACAAGAACCTCCATTTGTCTTGCAGTCATACACTTGAATTACATCATCGCTGGCTCCAGTGTGTGACCTTCCTGTGCTCTGGACCGCTCTGACACAATGTGCACGTCTATGAGAGTTAAACGTTTAAACCAGAGGAGAGAGAGGAGCTCAATTTATTAAGTGGTTGGTAATTAAGAAACATCTGTACAGACTAATCAGTGACTGTCAGTAGTTTGCTCATTCAGAAGGTCAAATTCACATCTTGACCCCCGGAAAACACTGCAATCACAGTCTGTTGCATGTGTTTAAACCACTGTAATATATCAGGAGTGTAATATATAAAACCCACCATTGCGCCTCAGCTCCTCTCTGGGTCTGGCCTGTCTCAGCAGCAGCAGCAGCAGCAGCAGCAGCAGCTCCTCAAACCTCTGAAAGGAAGGAAGCAGAGGAGTCAATCAGTTGTCGGCCAGTGAGGAAACATTTGCACTCATTGGCAGATGACTGGCACCATCGGCACACGTTCCCTCCTTTGCAAATCACTTTTCTAAACCATCATGTATTGATTTCATTTGAATATTGCATTTCACAGCCTGTCAAAGTTTCCACTCAGATTTTTGCAGGTTAATTCTTGAATGTCTGTGTTGGACAGAAACAACACAGTTGCTCGGGAAACCTCGATTGCATTCCAGTCCGTGTAATTACAGTGCCAGACATTTCCCAAAAGCTTGAAGGTAAACGTGCAAAGAATTTTCACTCAGGAGAGTTATCAAGTCGGCAGGACCACCTTTTGTTTGCCCAGTACTACTGCTGAAGTACTCCAGTGTACCATCTGATGGTGGACAGAGTTGGGAGGGGGAGGGCGGCTGGAAAGCATTCCTCACATTTAATGTTTGGCTGTCCCACATGAGGGTCTGCAGCAGCAGAGCCAACATCAATATGTGTTTTTATATGTCATGCATCACATACGTGGAGTCACGCTCACAGGTGTGATGGTGTGTTTCTGAGCGCGGTGATGACGACTCTTTATAGGGTTTTCACTGGTTTCAGTTAATTACACCTCCAGGGACGACTTTTTCTGGCCCCCGTTGTGATGGTGGAAACATCCGGACGTTATCCCTGTAATCAGCCAGACGACCACCGTCAGACACTTCCTGGAGCAAGTCTCAACAGAGCCTGTTTAAGCACCGATCTGATGATAATTATGAAGCAATGATTACTCCAGTAAACAAATGGCGTGGTGGTGGTGGTGGTGGTGTTTTGTCCAGGGAAATCCCCACCAATCTGTTAACCCACATTTTCCTAACCAGAAGACTCCAGTCCATGCAGGACACATGGGAACATGGGTGCAGCTGAACCCCATACAGATGCATCTCAATCTCCCTCCATGTATCTTCAGAGCTTCTTGGTTTTATCCATTGTGTTATTTGGCGCCACAATGCCCAAAGATTCATGAGGAGTGATAGCGAACAGTTGTTGTGGCCACTCTGCAACACCAGACACTGTGTTACGGAGCCAAGACTGAACAGTTCACATCGCCGTCTCCAGTCGACGTCCATTTCCTGTTATAAAAGTCTCAACAACACCGTCTCAGACCAAAGCGGTTTTTCCAATCAATCATAGGAATAAGCTCCCAGGACAGGACGAATCAGAGCATGGAGAAAAATGCAACCTCGGGCCTCCCCCAGGACCTTTAAAGCAGACAGATTGAGAGCACTGCTTCAGCCATGCGCTCACTGTAAAAAGCTTTTTGCCCATATCTCAACATTTTTGAAGCTCTCTGTCAAAAGAAGACAAGCGATCACAGGAGGTTAAACTCCATAAGTGCATAAACTATCGCTCTTAATAATGTCTTTATCGTAGGGTGAACATGCTGTGAAATTCACCGACATCTATACAATGTTGAAAAAAGAAAAAAAAAAAAGGTTTCAAGTCACTTTTTCATCATGGTGAAAAGTCTCTGGTTTTTCTGACCTCCTGGCTGCTTTGCTTACATGTGACCTTTGACCCCTTCTTTCTGTTGAAGCAAAACATCAGCTTTCTTCTTGCTCTTTCAACATCTCCACACACACACGCGCGCGTGCACACACAGTCTGTGATAGGGACAACCAAACTCCTGATGTCCCTTGAGGGATCAGAGATGGAATCCAGATGTATGGAAAACACACGGCTTCCTCCCTCACACACTTCACATTGTAGGAGAAGATATGAAACATGCACAGTGAATCCCTTTGGCTTGTAATTTGCTGGCCTGATTCATCTACATAATTCCTGAATTTGCATAAAAATAGACCAGAGTCTGTTTGCAATTCTGCACATATATTAATGTTTGGGGGGTTTTGGTCCAACTCTTCCTGTTTGACTCTGCCAAACTTTATATGCTGTTATCACTACGGACTCACTGAGACAAGAAGTCTAGGATAAAGAGTTGTAATCTCCTCCACTGCTTTGATTTAAATGGACTGTCTTCTCTAATAAAGTCTCTTGTTACTCAGATTTCACAATCACAGATGCATGAGTGAATCAACAGTCTTCCCCCTCTTTGCTGTGCAGGATGGATGAGAACTACAACATCGTCCCTCATGGTGTGAACTTCCAGGACCCCATCTTCCCTGACACTGCAGACAACCATCGCATGTTTGCCAGCCTCTTCCAGTTTTCCAACTGTACGCCTGGGACTCAGGTCCACACCTTCACCCCCGAGTGGGAGGCTCAGGAGGACAGCAGGGTAACGAAAAACAACCCCAACCACAACCACCAACATAAACCAGTGTTGATAAAGTGTTAGATGAAAAGCACCATCTCTTGTGATGCCGTGGTTACAGATACATGGTGGCTTCACACATACTTGGTGGGAACGGGAGCAATAAGCCCCAAGATGCTGAGGTTTTCTGGCACGCACACAAAGGGTTCGACATCACACCCTGTTGTTTTCAAAGAAAAGAAGCAGGAACACTAAATAAGTTCTTAGGACATTGGAAACTAAATACACATTTCTTGAGGTTTTATCAGACAAAGAGCTCACTATGTTAAGATTTAGATATTTGGCCATTTGGTTGTTTAATGA